CGCTCGTAACTCGCCTCGATCAGGTGGTCCTCGCTCTGGATTGCGCCGCTCGTTAGGCCTCGCGTCAACCACGTGCTCCTGCCTTGGAATGTCACGCGCAGGGGCGGCGTGTGCCGTACGGAGCGCGTAAGCGTAGGGGTCTAAAGCGCGGTTTGACAGCTCCCAACCGCGTGACACGTGCTCATCAGCGTACGATGCTGATGCGTTACCCCTAAACGCTTCTGAAGTCACTGCGCCGCCGTTCCATGCACAGCGAGGCTCGATTGACTGCGCGGCGGGCGGAGGGGGGCGATACGAACGCGCTGCGAGGATGTCCCCTTGTATGCGCTTCGCCTCGGTGGCGAGCTCTTCGAGGTCTGCGAACCTGCATCCCCTGAAGTGCGCCGCGAAAGTCGGGTGCGCCTGTCGGGTAACACGCTCGACCTTTTCCGCGTTGGTGGCGTGAGGGTTCGCGAGACGATACAATTCGTCCATCGCCCGTACGTATTCCAGCAAGGATTCGTCCGGATGCTGGGTGCGCAGCTCCAACTCCCTCCGCAAACGCCACTCATAATTAGCCGGTAGGAATTCGCCGCGAAAGCTTTCGCGGAACTCTTCTACCGTACGGGCGCGATGTCCGGTTAGTCGGAACCACCGAGCCGCTTGCTCCGTGAGCGACACCGGGACCACGCGCTCGAGAAGTTCGGCATCAGAAAGACCCGTCGCCTGCTGATAATGGAGCAACCGGTCGAGATACTCGTTGGCGCTCTTGCAGTCGTGGTAACCCGTGTAGGTCGGAATGTCTACCTTGACACGTGGTCGCACATTTTGCACGGGGGCCTGCGCTGTGTTCTGCAGGGCGCTCGCGAGGCTTTGCATAACTGACAGCGCATTCTGTAAGAGTACCTCGCTCGAGGGCAAACTGTTGCCCGAAGACTCGCCTATAGTTGAGGCGCGTGTCGTAACTTGTGGCGGCGCCTCTCTGTTCGCGTCGCGAGATGCCGGAGCGCCATGCGGGCCGCTCTCCGTCGTAGGCCTACTCTCTGCTAACGCGGTCTCTGCACCCTCCTGATCATCCCGCGTGAAACGACCAAGCTCTACGCTGTCGGAAAGTCCTAACAGTACCCCCGCGTTAGCCAAAGGATCGCCACTCTGCGACGCGACATCCGACAACATTGACAAATCTTGGAATTCCGACATGCCTATTATCCTACGTGTGGAAGAGCGCCCTGGCACTTGCTCGCGTCCACAGAACTAGCCGCGTTGCCAAATTCGTTACGTTGGGCGCCAGATGTTGGGGGACCGTCCTATGTACGGCTGACGCAGAAGCCTATAGCTAATGTTTCAGCCGCACACAGTCGTTCCGTGCACGGTTAACGTCCCCCAACCGTAGCTTGCCTCATTGCAGCTACTACTACGGGTTCGGGCGAATAAGGCAACTGGCCAGATCAACAACAAACACTTTATTGCTAAGCGTTAGCAAGCGCGCGTCACTGTCGCGGGGAGATACTACAGATAACAAAGGTGTTGACGCTTACACCTCGGTCGTGGACGTCCTCGGCTCGCAGGAGGGGTTGCGGGTTCGTCCTCCTGGGATGGTCGCTGGTGTCAGAGGGCGAGCGCCCGTTTGCCCGCTCGGTACGGGCCCCGACCCGATTTCCCTCTCCCTGACGAGAATGGCACCTTTCCTCGCTGAGGGAGAGGGGAACCTGTTCCTGGCGCCGGGAAAGGGGGGGGAATCGCACGCGCCGGCCGTGGGGGAAGGGGTCCCCGCAACCAGGCGCGTGCGCTGCCCTAAAAGGGAAAGGGAGGCTGGGCGCACCTGCTCCCCACAAGGTATGCATGTACATTGTTAGTGCATGTTTATTATTAAATTTCCGGCTACAGAACTCGCATTGGTACTCCTGTTGATTTGTGTGAATCAGCTTTTCTGAAAGGTTGCTTATCGAGGCCATTATCTCATTGTGTGTGCTGCTCCTAAAAAGTCAACCGCTCACAGGTGTGGCTGGACAGTGAACTGCTACTGCCCTAAGCGTGCAAAGGTGGCAGATCACAAAAGACACCCTAGGCATAGGTCAGCGAACTCACTTACGAGACGACTCACTTGATCGCATGCACTCGGATCAAGCCACAAGTCTGATTCCGAGTCCGGATAAGTAACATTTTGGCGAGTTGGAGTCCGAAGGAAAAATATTTTTGTTAGTGAGAGTCTAAGCGAGTTCAGAAAAATTTTGGCGAGTCCCGAGTTCGACTGAGCCCGAAGTGCAAGATACAGTTCTTGAGCGAGTCTGAGTGAATTCCACCTTTTTTTGGCCAGCCTATGGTCCTATCTACTCATCTTCAATATTACTATCAGACTTACCTGGATTCACATTTATACTTACGTCTGCTGATCACATGTACTCTACAGCAGCGTCCTTCATACACAATTTCAATATTTATTGATTAGAGGTGCGAATTAAGCAGAAGGGTGCTTTGACTTCCCTATAGCCGGCTCTTCCAGAATTGATTTGTTGATAAACACATCTTGTGTTGTCATCTCTTTCAATAAAAAGGACCTCATTGGTTCGCAAGCAAACACAACTTGCATTCAAAGGTACTATATCAAAAGGGGCAAGAGCAGCACCGGTTACGTTAGATATTGGTGTTAAGGAGCATTGACACCATTCTCAGAAAAGCTTATCTTTAGCTAACAGACTGATGGGTCGACTCACTCAGACTGAGATCGAGTTGCAAGTCCGAGTCTGGGTGAATAGTGTTTTGGAGAGTTTGAGTCCAAGTGAGTCTAGTTGAAATTTTCGCGAGTCCGAGTGGGCCCCAAGAGCAAAAGATACTGCGTAAGCGAGTCTGAGTGAGCTCTACAAGTTTTGCTGACCTTTGGTCTCAGCACTTGCTACTGCTGCCGTTTTCCATGTGTTTTACAATGAAATAAGTGGAGAGGAGGAGATGACGCTTGTACAAAGGTTAGCGAAGACGAGAAAGAAACTACTCCAAGTTCAAAGAAGGGAGTGATTTCTTTCTGTAAGCTTCTTTAACTTTCATAAACGAAAATGAAAAGGTAAGTGTACACCGGAATGATTATTGTAATTGAAACAGATAGCGATGTGGAGCTGCAGTTTACTCAAGCTGTGGTTTCCAAAGCAAATTGTCACAAAACCGTATTGCCACAGTTTAAGTCAGGACATGAAACGCCAGGTTGTCTCAGGTTCAGAAATTCCTACACCCCCTTGCATTATAGCACATACATGATCAACCAATAACAGTCCTTTGCACACCCGCCAAGTGAACCGTAATGGTGAATGATCGCATTAAGTAAATAGACGACAGCCTGAAGCTATTCTGTCTGCTGTCAAAGAAACCATACACCTCAGTGATGTCTGGAGTCGTCACAGTGCTTCAGTGTGCTTGCGGGTGCCGTCTGTGATGCTTAAAGAAAGCAGCAGACAGCCTCAAAAATGGTTGCTGCGCATACGATGGCAAGCGGAGAACGCAACGCTTACAAACTTGGGTGGCTCAGGCTTCATGTATTTAAAAAGCACCTGGTCTACCCGGGGCACAAGACGCTCGACCCAGGTCGCAGTACGATGCGGTCGTCGCCCAGTACAGTAAACCAGTTTTACTGTGTATCACTACACAGGGTGTCTTTTTCTTGACAAGAAAGGCAGGAAGGAAAATAACTTTATTTTGGTCTTGCAGAACACGACAGACTCGCGCACCCGGCTCTAGATACTTTTAATAAAAATGCTCTGACAGCGAGATCTCTGCTTTACAAGCGAACTCTACGAAGGGGCGGTAAAACGTTGCCGCTCCTAAAGTTACATTCCAATAAATAATTAACGAAAGTTCATTCATTATCATCTTGATTATTAGATTTGGGTTCGTTCTTTACATGGAGGGGTTACAGAGTGTGACAATTTGGGACATGTTCATTTTTACAAATCACAAAAAATTCATGAAATTTGAGATGATAATAAGCCCCGGTCTAGGCAATACTGAAGCTGAGCGCACCAGGTATGCAGCAAACAGCCATCTATGTTATGTCAGATCGAATGGGCATGTGACGACTATTTCTTGAAAAACAAGGCATGTCGCTGCAGAATATGGTCGGCAAAAACGGCAAGTTGTTTATTCAGCGTTGGTGTGCCAAATACAGGATGTGCCCCGCCGCGGTGGTCTAGTGGCTAAGGTACTCGGCTGCTGACCCGCAGGGCGCGGGTTCGAATCCCGGCTGCGGCGGCTGCATTTCCGATGGAGGCGGAAATGTTGTAGGCCCGTGTGCTCAGATTTGGGTGCACGTTAAAGAACCCCAGGTGGTCTAAATTTCCGGAGCCCTCCACTACGGCGTCTCTCATAATCATATAGTGGTTTTGGGACGTTAAACCCCACATATCAATCATCAATCAAATACAGGATGTGGTGATGAGGCGTTCTGTAGTGAAATATTTTTCATTGAATGCTCAGGGCAACAAAATTTAACTTCGAATTAACTCCCCATGATTGAGTGACGTACGCTACTGAGGGAATATTGTTGGCAAGGCTTCAGGGCCTACTGAGGGAATATTGTTGGCAAGGCTTCAGGGCTTCTAATTGTGTGGTTTTTCTTTCTGTAGAGTTCCCACTTGCATTTCAAACAAATTATTCTTGGAAAGGGTAACTTTCATATAAATGATCTGAAATCAGATTATTTATGCAGCCTTAACTTACAGGCTATTTTTATATCCTACACAAATTAACCTCTATGTTTTGGACGAGCAGTACTTGTCAGGCCAAACTGTCCCCAGACTGTTTTGGACGAGCCAATTCGTCCTAGTAGAGTCGATACTCCCTTGTGGTTCTCAGGGCGAGCAGCACTCGTCTATGACTTACATTGCAAGTCACCCACTTGCAAGGTCAAGAGTGCTCGCCAGTGAGACAGCATTATTTCATGTTCAGAAATTTTTTGGAGAATTTTGAAGCTTCCAGAGTGAAATAGACTAAAGGTGCTTGGCCTACACACGTAAAGAAAAATGTGACATTTGTAATTGTCTTTATAAGCCTTTTATTTTTATTAGCAGCAGGCAGCTTGTTTTGAAAGTGTTGTTCAGAAACAAACTATTATTTTGATTTGACTAAGTATGTAGCACAAATAATTTCTCAATATCGACTAGCTGCTTTTTAGTACAATGGGATTCTAAATAAGCAATAAAAGAATAGGCACTTTTGGTTTTAAGGGGTTAACGTGTGGTCATTGACGCAAATATTTGATCCTGAAATCTTCGAATGTAGTTGATATAAGAGCACCAGTATGGGTTATTTTATTCATCCACTGAGCTCTATGCTTGCCTCCAATTTGCTCCGAGAGAGACACATGGTACCTGAAAAGGAATATATTAAATTTATTATTTAGATATTGCATTTAGATAAGCTCCGCAAGTAAAATAGGCGATCAACATCGACTTGGTTTACGGAATGCTTCACCGTAATGTGACTACGGCTATGAGAGACACCGTAGTGAGGGGTTCCAGATCATTTCTACGACCTGGGTTTTTTTTCTAATGTCAACTGACATCACACAGCACGCGGGCTTACAGTATTTTTCCTCCACTGAAAATGCAACTGCCGCGGTCAGCACAGATCTCAGGTCTTTAGGGTCAGCAGCAGATCATCGTCACAACTCAGCTGCCATGGCAGGCTAGAGTTCTACATTCCTACATCACATGCAGCATGGCAGGCTAAAGTTCTACATCCCTACATCAGATATAGCCACCATGACAGGCTAGAGTTCTACATCCCTACATCACATATAGCCACCATGGCAGGCTAGAGTTCTACATCCCTACATCACATATAGCCACCATGGCAGGCTAGAGAGTTCTACATTCCTACATTACATATAGCCACCATGGCAGGCTAGAGTATTATACATCCCTACATTACATATAGTCACCATGGCAGGCTAAAGTTTTACATTCCTACATCACATATAGCCACCATGGCAGGCTAGAGTTCTACATCCTTACATTACATATAGCCACCATGGCAGGCTGGAGTTCTACATCTCTACATTACATATAGCCACCATGGCAGGCTAGAGAGTTATACATCCCTACATTACATCTTACACGAAGGGCCTCCCTCCTAAAATTGTGACGTCAGTCAAGATACGCCCTGGTTTCCTGTGCACCCCCCCCCCCCCCCCTGGCCGAACGGCCGTCTCAAATGCAGAGAATTTCACCTTGCTCCCAGTGCTTTATACATTTCAAAACAGCACCATATCCTTTGTTTTGCAAGTGTTCGCGAAGTGACCTCTATGTAGGCCTAGTCGCCTACTACGGACACTACGTAAACTTGCATTTTAAACAATGGGACCCTTTGGAGGTATCTCTTATTATGTCATCGTCACTCTTTTTGCGTGCATTTCGTAGCGGTAACAAAACATGAACTGGCACTTCCAGGTCCCAGACAATGCACTGTCGACGTGACAATGCAATCTTGAAGAGAAAGTGGCTGGCGCAGGGCTTTGAAAAAGTGTAAATTTAGCGAACTAAATGACACTGTTGTCAAACAAAAGACAATTTTGATGCGACTTTTTTCTCTAATAATGCAGTGTAAACTAATACATGTACAGGGGTACGACAGCCGAAATACAATTCAGAGCAATTTTTGGAGTACTAAAACCGAAATTTGAAGCAGGTTGCGGAAAAAAAAAAAACATGCACTTTTTCATGAAACATGAAATTTCGAGCAGTATAAGACAGCTTAAATTTAGGAAAAAAATGTGTAGAAGCCATTCACCATCACCTAAATTATGCAGTGTGAGCATAAGCACTGCTATTTCAATGAAAGTAGTATTTTGAACCACCCCACTGAGCAAGCAATGATAAAGTCCATATTAGCATTTGGTGTGCCTGTCAAACCATTTGACGAACTCTGCGAATTTAAACACACATCTGCCAAGCTCACAGCTTTGAAATTCGGTAGATTCGTAAAACCAAGGAGTAGAGGTGGCGAAAAAACAAACTGGCGCACAATTCAGTTTTCTTCAGGAAAGCAGAGATATCACGCGCTGCTTTAAATTATTGTCAGTAGCCTATTTAGACATCAGTAATTATACTGGTACTCACAATCATGCATTATACAACCGCATGAGTAACTAAACAAAATGCGCAGTGTCCCGTGACTAATGCTAACAGCCCCCTCTAAATCTCAATATGCTTTTCCTCAGGGTACAAGTGTACTGCGGCGAAGGTCGTTCAAGCAACATTAGAACCAAAGCAAACAAATTTTCTAACCTCTGCTTCACTTCCCAAAAGAAATACTTTGGTTTGGGCTAGTTGGTTCATAGTACTCGACTTCAAAAGGTCAGCACAATGACACGAAAAAAAAATGGGCCCCGTATCTGCATGTAATCTGCAAATGTAGTCGAAAGACTATAGTCTTGCGTGTGGAGAGAGTGAACAAAACATTTATTTGATGTTCTGCACAAGAAAATCGGTGAATGGTATTCCGGAGGCGCTGTATTGTTGGAGTGCCTCGAGCGTGCAGCGGAGGCGAACGAGTGCAACAAGTCACGTCACACGTGAGACATGAGCGCCATCTGACATTTTTTTTGGAAAACAAAGCGCGTGGCCCTGAGACGGGCGTGCGCGCCCGTCTCACAGGTGATAAAGTGTAGAACGCAAGGCGAGGGGCAGGGGCCACCACAGTGTCTTCTTAGCAAATCGTTGGAAGCACCTTTCCGTGCAAGCGTTGCATGGTCAGTGCAGCATGATAAGCACTACGGTCCTTAGAATTATTTATGTATGGCTTTTCTAGTAAAAGGCGAACATGCAGAACATATACGTGTTATGGTGCCTCAGATATGCGCGATAATTGTTTTTTAATTGACAATCACACACATTTGAACGGTGATTCTTGAGCAACATCGGTGGGCGCTGCAGGTGAGGTCGGTTGTTCGGGGTATCTGCTGGTGCTGTTTAGAGTACCCGGTTCGCGGTAACGGTGGACAAACAGACATATGTACAGACAGACAGACCAGTTTTTACGTCGAAGGTCCCCAAAAAGGACTATCGTCTTTTAGAAAAAAAGAGAGACAAAGAGAGCTGTCTCTTTGTCTTTCTGTCTTTCTTTCCTCATGTCGGTGTGCTTACCCCTTTTGAAATGAAACTCACTTTCCACTCCTTTTTTTTCACCGTGGGGTTCGGTGCCGCTTTGGCTCCCTTGCAAGGCACGTTGGACCAGGTAAAGTAACAACGGTGAGTGCCCGATGGCCTGGCAATGGTACCGAATATTTATCGCCAGGACTGTGGCAGAGACAATGCAACTTCAGGACAAATATAAATGTTTTATGTGTCACTGCTAAGGCAATCATTGTGTTCGCTGGCAACTCCAGGATTCACAACACGTCAAGCTTGTTCACGCGAGGAAACCACGGTGTACGCCACCAGCTTTAGTTTTTAGCATGCCATAGCCGCGTTTTCAGGCTAAGAAAGTTATAATTCCAGCGAAGCGTTGGTAGCTGCAGCAACACATTTTTGTTTTGAAGTTCCATCGTCACACCAATAGGTATCCGCCGCAGTCAGCAGACCAACGGGCGCCGCTTATGAAATCCCTACGCGCTGTGCAGTGCTCTCTCGCCCTTCTTGCTGGTGCTCAACCAAGAGACACTGACGCGTCCTTCATGGACACCGGAGGCATCCGTCAGAGACGCTGGACGTGTTTCTCAGAGACGCTGCGCGCGTCCAACTCCGGGTGTGCCCTCCTCCTCAAGCGTCTCGGCACTTATAAAAGGCCGGCACATTTAGCATCGGAGGCTTCCCTGTTCACGTTTTGTACATACATAGTAAATCATAGTAAATATAAACACTTTGTTTCCTTCTGGCTGCCTTTTTTCTTGCCCCTGCCTGGATGCTCCCTGCCCGGCGTTGGCGCTCGCGACACGCTACCCAAGAAGACCCATAGGTGCCTCTCTCCCTCGTAACGGCTGGTGGCAGCGGTGGGATGGCAGTGGACCTTGCAACTTGAGCCAGCTGAAACGCGGACAACTCAACGGAACCCATGACTGCAGCAATGAGAGTGTTGGACTTTTCTCCTTTAAGATTTGCCAGGCTTTTAAGGGTAGATTTGAAGCTTGAAGCTGGCAGGTTTTCTTCTTCAATTTTCAACCCCTTTGCATAATTGCAGTTGGTGATATTGATGGAGAACAGATAGGAAAAAGAGTTTGAGGTCTGACCTTGTGGTCATGGACCTCAATTCACTATGCAAGCCTGATCTCTTATTGCTTTGCGCGGAATTGAGAGTGGACGTGGGGAATGCTGTACGGAAGCCTATTATCATTCACGCATTACTTGCCTCAGGAGTAGATGAATGCGAGCTTCAGCAATCTTGGGAAATCGTTAAAAGCATCGGGCAATCAAAGAAAAGAGGCATGCCAAGGAAGAACACAGGCGAGCTGATGAAAAAAAAAAAGGCGGGCCGACGAAAAAAAGGGGCGGGTCGATGAAATAAAAAGGTTAATGCTTCAATTCAAATTAAAGCGGCTTGAGCTTCAGACAGATCGTGAGAGTGTTCAGAGAGAGGAGGGACTCGTGATGAAGTGGGTGCATGGAAACACTGAAAGCGTAGCTGGGGTAGCTCATGAGTCAGGCATCCAGTGGCAATCAGAGAAAGCATGTGTTTGCCTCTCTAGCGAACTGCCGTGCAGCGATTGCTCCGAGCAAAAGCCTGAACATGAACTGGCTAACTACATAGAGAGTGCAGACGCACTCGTCAACACACCGAGTGTACAATCGGAGGTACTGTCGTCAGAATATGCTGATCTCGATGGGCAGGTTGTCTGAAAAGAAATGGACAGTTCTATTGAGTTCAGCGATTAATGGGGACAAATGGACAAGAGAGGTAGTGACCTCCCAATGCACAGCTTATTCGGCGAAATGGAAGCCGACGTATGTTTGTAGTTTTCGCTGGCTTCAGGGGTCACTTTCTGAATAATGTACCAGGTAGACATTGAGTCTAATGAAGGCGTCCTTGTGCAGGAAAGAATACATTGGACACTCCTGTCTCTTTGCACAAGAAGACAGATTCTGAGGTCTAAATTCTACCTTATCTGCACCGTGGATAAAGATTTTGCGAAGCATCCGGGGGTTTTAATTGGGATTTTCAGACACGCATCTAAAAGAACCCTTCAAAGAGGCATACTGTGAGCAGTCTGTTGAACATGTGAAGTGTTTTCGCCGTCTGGTTGGCGACCCGATCATTTGAGCGGGCGGTCAATTCTTGTCCCTCTCGTCTGCCAGCATTATTGATTGTTTTAGTACAAGCCTGGTAGGTCCTAGGGGGAATTGTCTGGCGATGGCGGGCTGCTTTCGTCGAGGTG